ATATATATATGGTTAGTAACATTTAACTAACCTATAAAACATGGAACCATAGTATTGATTCTTCAATGGACTGACTCTGAAAGAGCTGTCCATCCAAAAATAATCACCCGGTGTTGCAAACAAGGTTATTGTGACGAACCTAAACTTTCTGGGTACAAGTATTTGAATGAACTGACAAAAGATTACCGGATACGCATGACTGACGAGCGGCAAGAACCGCGAAACCAGTCGTGTGCTTCCAGGGAAATTTTATATAGTCAATCATACACTACTTATTATGGAATATATATAGGCATACCGTGCCGGGATCATATTGTCCACTTGATCTGGTCATTCTGTCCGATGAGTGGACGACACTATTAGTCCGCGTCCCAACTGATCCCATCCCTGTCGGGTTTCTCTATCGCGAATCTTGCAGCATTCTTACTGGAGAGCTAGTGAACCACCACACACACACACACACACACCATTTATTGTTCAAACGTAGACCGTGCCGAGGTTTATTTGTCCATCGACAGACTGAGAAAATCCACCGAAATGCTGATGAGTTTATTAGCTGCTAAAATCTCTGCGGATGAAATAAAATATAAAATCAATCAGATAGTTTTTTTTGACGGAAGCGGGATACTGCAAAATAAATCAGTCGTCATTCAAGTGGAACCCGATTTCAGTGCAGCTCTGTGTGTGGATAAAAAAGTATGTGAGCACTGGCTAAACCCGAAAGGGACACAGAGAGAGAAACAAAGAAAGAAATATAGTGAGTGTGTGTGTGTGTGCGCAGTGTTCAATTCATTGCCAGGCTTACAGATCCGACATAATCAGGGACTAACTAGATGAGCTTCATTTCACGAGAACTGTGCATTTACAACGGTTATTTTCTTCAGTATTCCATTGACTCGATCCGATACTCAGCAGCACAAGACTTCAAGAGCAGGGTCATGGTGAAAAGAAAGTGTCCGGGGACAATTCGTAAGTGATACGGAAAAACTATGGTGTGCAAACGATCGATGGACTATTGGGCTGTCAGCAACAAAAACAACAACAGCAACGACAACAACAACGAATAAAATCACCCGACCATTAATCATACGAGCAGCTGAATAACTCTTCAACTAACCCGGTCAGTCTAAATCACCGTAATGTACCACAACAGTATGGATATACTATCATATATCATTGCAAAAAGATTCCAGAAATTAATTTATGATTTCACCGCGTGATACACGGTGGATAGGGGTGGCGCAATGGGCACATTTTTTATTGCACACTTTTGAAAGATGACGAGTAAAAATGGTGTTGGCTATGAAAACCCAAAACCGAGTCATAATCCGCGGAAGGCTGGTGCTGAGATGAGCTAGGCGCAATGACCGCAACAAGCTCGCAAAGATGTGCTCTATTGTGTATATACTCGAAATGAGATACGGTCATTTGAGCTGGTAGTAGGATTGCGTTCTACCTGTGAGGCCCTGGGTTCGATACCCCATTGGATGGATTCACTCACTGCTGATGGGACCCGAACAGGTCGAAACAGGTCTCGCNACACAAGGAATTCGTCATATCACCAAATCAAATTTTTCATTGTTCTCATAAAACTTAAACCCTAAAACTTCTGGACCAGTGAACCATACACAATCCCCGGTGAGAAAAGGGTGTTTCTGAGCTCAACGACAACAAAGCTGTCTACAAATGTTGTCAGATAGTACTCACATTTGTGAGTAGTTTGCGTGCCCCAAGAGGCGGTTGTTGGATTGCCATGGGAGGATCGAGTGGATTAAAATTTTTCCTGTAGCAACCACAGAAGAGACAAATAGGCTTCTAGGCTGACGATTGCCAGTGAGGAGACCATCACGAAACTACTAACCAATTGTTACAAATTAGATGTTTCATTCAATGTCACCTTATTTACCCCTATCCGATACTGATGTCTAAATAAATAAATCTCCTCGTCTGCGTACTGCTTTGCGAGGATTTATGACATTTGGTGCCATCGCCATGATCAGGATAAAGGTTCCATGAACTGCAGCTTTCGACGACGGTAACTTGCGGAATCTCCTGATGGCAAGGCAGATTATCAGTTCGCCGGTTGTGCCGTTTAAAGACCAAGCTTGTGAAAAGGCACACAAAGAACGCATGCACACCGATGTCCAGTTTGTAGGAACCTGTTGTGTGTGATGGTGGACACATACATACAGACAAGCACCAGTAGTGGATTCCGTAGAGTGCAACAGTATAGCGGAAAGATATTCACATTGTATAAACTCGCAAAAAGCCCTTGGTCCATCGGAACATTCTCAAACATTCAGATGCGATGAAAATGTTTGTGATAACCGACAAAGAGCACTGGACAACTGTTTCGTCCTGTTTGGGACTCGTCAGCAGTGCGTACTTTGGGTCGGGACTTCAAACCCTTACCCCTGAGCTACATGGTCGACTGTCATCACCCTGTGCGAATGGCTTAATCAATTTAGAGTATCAAGCTTGGATCAGCCCATTAGATGGTTGAGAGGCACCAGGCACTGTTGATGGTCTGGGGTGTGGGTTACACTCATTGGGAGATCGTTAATTCCCCACCTATTATTACCTCCAAATTCTTAAACATTTCAATGATTGAGCAAACCACATGCGTCAAAATAGAGCTGATGATACACTAAGCTGAAGTGAAACAAGCGGGGAAAACAGGTGTGTGTGTGTGTGTGTGTGTGTGTGTGTGGGNTGTGGAAAGCAGCTTTTTATTGGGCTCTATCTATCCATCTGTACAAACATCACCATTTGCGGTCACGACGGATTGATCACTTTGATAACTTTGAACTGCTACTCACCTGAACAATGGAGGACAAGGAAACGATTTCATGCCAAGCATTTCAGCGATTGCCAGTGAGATCAGTCGTGAGGTGTGATACAGTGTTTCCGATGTGTTCACCTGGGAGGTCGACCAAAAAAAAAAATAATAACAAAAGAAAGAAAGAAAAATGTCAATGATTGATTTTCGTGAAACAACAGTCTTTGTGGTCGTGATCACGATGATGGTGGTGGTGATAGAACTAATTCAAATTCAAATATTTATCATGAGTGAAATACAAAGCTGATGCTTATTGAATCCCTTTAGGATCTGTGCACACACTGGGTTCGGTTGGTAGTACAATTAAATAGCGAATTATGACATTCATTCACGGGTGCTTAATAGTGAAGTGTTTCAATGCCTCATCGAGCCGAGATTTGAATGAATCGATGGTTGGAGCACAAACAACTGGAGGTGGAAGAGAGTTCCAGGTATTACAAACTGTGAAGCTCCGAGTGTTCCATGTAGCCAAGTCGACTCTTTTGGAGTAAAAGTTTGAAGACATGCCCACTGAGGTTACCATTCCTGGATAGTGTTAGCAGAGTACTACACGGGTTGTTAGGCTGATGTAGTATTTGATATACGATTATCATGTTACCCTGTATTCGACGGTATTCAAATGAATGCAGTCCAAGATTAGCAGCCTTGCAACGCCCGTCTTAGACTGTAACTCTTTGACCATTTTGGTTGTTGTTCTCTAGAGCATTCGAGTACTTTTCGGTCATGAATTAGTCATGGACTCCAAGCTTATATGGCACACTCGATGTATGGTTGAATGTATGTAGATAAAAAAACAGCGCAAAAGGTCTGTTTCGAATGATCTAGAAACACGTTTTAGTAATCCAACTTGCCTTATGGCCTTTCATGACGTTCCCACGCAATACATGGAACATTCTAGATACTCACGAACAATAACTCCCAGGTCTTTATCTTTTGGGACAAGCGATAATAGCTGATTTCCAAGTACTTATGGAAAGCAACCCCTGTGAGCCAACGATACGACCTTGCAATTCTTAACTTTGAATTCGATGTCATTAGTGATAGCCCATTGTTAGGTGGCATCGAGAGTAGAATCTCATATTCTTCAGGAGTTCGTACCGTTCTCCATGTTATGGCGTCGTCAGTGAATAATAGTGTCTTTTCTCAAAGAACACTTAGTAGATCGTTTACGAATGCTAGAAAAAATCAACGGACCAAGTAAGGATCTTTGTGGGACTCTACGGACAGTTTCACTTGGTCCGAATAGCGAACCATCAACTCGAACAAAGACGATTCGTCGTCGAAGTTTCTCAATCCAGTCAAGGATCAGTCCTGGAACACCGTAGTTACGGAGCTTTCGCAGATATATACAGTGGTTAAATCTGTCAAAGGCTTTGGAGTTCAACTAGACTACCTCTACTGCCAACCCCGGGGTCGATTGTTCCTGTCCACTCCTCTCGTGCAAATAACAGAATTGTGGTGCACGACTGTTTTTCCCGAAACCCGTGTTGGGCAATTGTGTCAGAATTTTATAC